ACATGGCTTACAAAACAATAGCAATGTAAGACAGGTAGTTTCATAAACATTATCAAGGTTAACAGAGGCAGCAGGAGTCAATGACATCAGCATGGGTGCAGGTGGCAGCATGAATTACAGATATCAGCTAACTTAACAAAGGTTCATTAAATCTGGGGAATTACTATTCTATATATTGCCAAAAAGGTACACTTACCTTACATGATGACTTGTAGCAGAAGAGATCATAGAAATCAACCTGGTGCCCAGTGGTAAGATCATGAACATCAACATTGCTCCCAGAAGGAGTAAGAATAGCATTGCCCTTCCAACCATGGATATGCACATGTTTAAGAGACTCAGCTGGATTTAAAGACCTCAACTTGTTTGGAGGTAACATCATGTATTCAGGATATTAACTTAGTTTCTGTTAGTAGATCAATTCTTGGAAATTACATTCATTATATGTGCAACACAGAATACTTACACAAATAAGGTGATAAGGGAATGGAGAATTGAAAGCAATGGAGGTGTTATCCCATGGTAATAAGGACCACATGCATCAACGTGGCTTACAGAATCAATAGGAATGCATTGGATGTACATTCATAGACAACAAAAGGGTTAATATTGGCAACAGGGACCAATGACATCCACATGTTTGTAGGTTGTAGCATGAATTAGGGATATCTGCTTAGTTACTGATGCTTGTTAAATCTTGGAAATTACCATTTTACACAATGTCAAAAAGGACCACTTGCCTTAATATGGCCATAAGGGGCTTGTGAATTTATGGCAAAGATGATATTAACCCATTGTATAAAGGACCACCTGCATCAACATGGCTTATAAAACCAATAGGATTGCAGGGGAGCTCCATTCATTATTATAAGCAGGGTTTGCAAAAGTAGTAGTGATCAATGACATCAGCATGGCTGCAGTTGGCAGCATAACTTAGTTACCAAAAGTTGGTTAAATCTTGGAAATTATCATTCTATACATTGGCAACAAGGAACACTTATATTAGCTTCATCACCTGTAGAAACAGAGATCATGGAAATCCATATGACATCCAGTGGTTAACAAGACCATGAGCATCAATCTGATACCAGAAGTATTAGAAAATGCATTATAGTTCCAATCATGGACATGTATATGGGTATCAAAAGCAGCATGGATCAATAAAATCCACAAGGTTTCAGGTGGTAGCATGTTGAATGGATAGCCACATAGTTTACTATGGTAGTTGAGATCAGGGAAATTAACATTCTTCATGTTAGAAAGACAGAACTCTTACATCAACATGATATCAGGTAGGAGGACAGATAGACATCAATATCAGATCCATGGGCAAAAAGAACCCTGGCATCAACATGGATTCCAGAAATAGTAGGAATAGTATAGTATGTCTGCTCATGGACATCTGCATGATTAAAAGATGCAGCAGGGATGAAAGATTTAATTTGTTTGGAGGTGACAACAAGTATTCCAGATATCAAATTAGTTTCAGTTGCTATTTTTGTACTTGGAAATTTACATTCTTCATGCTGGAAACACAGAACACTTCCAGGAATATGGTCACAAGGGGCCAGAGAGGTCATGGCAATCACAATGTTATCCCACAGTAACTAGGACAATATGAATCAACATGGCTTACACAAACAATAGGAATTCCTGTCAGGCCCTTTCATAGAAATCAAAAAGATTAACAGAGGCAACAATGGTAAATGACATCAGCATGGGTGCAGGTGGCAGCATGAATTACAGATATCAGCTACATTACCAAAGGTTCATTAAATCGTAGGAATTACCATTCTATATATTGACAAAAAAGACACTTACCTTAATATTTTCATTTGTAAGAGGAGAGATCATGGAAATCAACCTGGGGTCAAGTGGTAGGAAGATCATGAGCAAAAACATTGCTTCCAGAAGGAGTAGGAAAAGCATTGTAGTTCCAATCATGGACATGCACATGTTTAAGAGACACAGCTGGGTTTAATGACCTCAACTTGCTTGGAGGTAGCAGCATGTATTCAGGATATTAACTTAGTTTCTGTTAGTATTTCAATTCTTGATACATACATTCTTCATATTGCCAATACAGAACCCTTACAAAAATAAGGTGTGAGGGGATGGAGAATTGAAAGCAATCAAGGTGTTATCTGATGGTAAGAAGGACCACATGCATCAACATGGCTTACAGTACCAATAGGAATGCATGAGAGATCCATTCATTAATATCAAATGGGTTTGCAAAGGCATCAATAATCAATGGCATCAGCATGGCTGCAGGTGGCAGTATGAATTATGTGTATCAACTTAGTTACCAAAAGTTAGTTAAATCTTGGGAATTACCATTCTATACATTGGCAACAACAAACACTTACCTTAAGGTGGTGACTTGTAGGAGGAGAGATCATAGAAATCAACATGTTGCCCAGTGGCAACAAGATAATGAGCATCAATATTGTTTCTGGAATAGTAAAATGCAATTGTGCCTCCAATCATGATCATTCACATGGTTAACAGTGTTTCAGGTGGAAAATGTAGAATGGATAGCCACACAGTTTACTTTGGTAGTTGAGATTAGAAAATTAACTTTCTTCATGATGGAAAGACAGAATTCGTGCACCAACATGATGTCAGGTAGGAGGACAGATAGACATCAACATCAGATCCAGGGGCAAGAGAGAATCCTGGCATCAATGTGGCTTCCAGAAATAGAAGGAATGGCATGGTATGTCTGCTCATGGACATCTACATGTTTAACACATGCAGCTGGAATAAATGAATTCGATTTGTTTGGAGGTGACAGCAAATAATCCAGATATCAAGTTAGTTTCAGTTGGTATTTGAATTCTTAGCAAAACAGAACACTTACATCAAAAAGGTCATAAGGGGCCAGACAGGTCATGGCAATCAAGATGTTATCCCATGGTAACAAGGACCACATGCATCAACACGGTTTACAGAACCAACAGTAATGCATTGCAGGTGCATTCATAGACATCAACAGGGTTAACAGTGGCAACAGGGATCAATGACATCAGCATGGTTGGAGATGGAAGCATGAATTATGGATATCTGCTTAGTAAAGAATGTTTGTTAAATCTTGGAAATTACCATTCTACACATTGCCAAAAAGGAACCCTTGCTTTAATATGGTCATAATGGGCTAGAGAATTTAGGCAATCAAGATGTTAACCCATGTTATAAAGGAAGACCTGCATCAACATGGCTTACAGAAACAATAGGAATGCATGGGAGCTCCATTCATTAATATCAGCAGGGTTTGCAAAGGCATCAGTGATCAATGACATCAGCATGGCTGCAGGTGATAGTATGAATTATGTGTACCAACTCAGTTACCAAACTTGGTTAAATCATGGAAATTACCATGGTGTCCGGTGGTTTATTAGACCATGAGCATCAACACTGCTACCAGAAGTAGTAGGAAAAGCATTATAGTTCCAATCATGGTTATCCATATGGGTCATGGAAGCAGCAGGGATCAGGTAAATGCACAAGATATCGTGTGGCAGCACGTAGAATGGATAGCCACATAGTTTACTATGGTAGTTGAGATCAGGGAAATTAACATTCTTCATGTTGGAAAGACAGATCTCTTGCATCAATATGTTCTCAGGTAGTAGGACAAACAGACATAAATATCAGACCCATGGGCAAGAGAAAACCCTGGCATCAATGTGACTTCCAGAAATAGTAGGAATAGCATGATATATCTGCTCATAGATATTCGCATGCTTAAAAGATGCAGCAAGGATGAATGAATTCAAATTGTTTGGAGGTTACAGCAAGTATTCCGGATATCCACTTAGTTTCTGTTGGTAATTTTGTTTTTCGGAATTTACATTCTTTATGTTGGCAATACAAAACACTTACATTAATATGGTCATATAGGGCCAGAGAGGGCTTGGCAATCAAGATGCAATCCCTCAGTAACAAGGATCATATGCATCAACATGGCTTACACAAACAATAGGAATTCCTGTCAGGCCCTTTCATAGACATCAAGAAGGTTAACAGAGGCAGCAGCAGTCAAAGACATCAGCATGGGTACAGGTGGCAGCATGAAATACAGATATTAGCCTAGGTAACAAAAGTTCATTAAATCACCCTGAAATTATCATTGTATATATTGCCATAAATGTACACTTACCTTAATACGGTCACTTATATCAGGAGAGATCTTGGAAGTCACCATGGTGTCCAGTGGTTAGAAGATCATGAGCATCAACATTGCTTCCAGAAGGAGTAGGAATAGCATTGTAGTTCCAATCATGGACATGCATATGTTTAAGAGACTCAGCTGGGTTTAAAGACCTCAACTTGTTTGGAGTTAGCAGCATGCAATCAGGATACTAACTTAGTTTCTGTTAGTATTTCAATTCTTGGATATTACTTTCTTCATATGAGTAACACAGAACACTTCCATCAATATGGTGATAAGGGGATGGAGAATTCAAGCAATCAAGGTGTTATCCAACAGTAATAATGACCACACTCATCAACATGGCTTACAGAACCAATAGGAATGCATTGGAGGTGCATTCATAGACAGCAACATTATTAACAGTGGCAACGGGTGTCAAGGATATCAGCATGGTATTAGATGGTAGCATGAATTAGGGATATCTGCTTAGTTGCCAATTCTTATTAAATCTTGAAGATTACCATTCTACACATTGCCAAACAAAAACCCTTGCCTTAATATGGCCATAAGGGGATTGAGAATTTATGGCAATCAAGATATTAACTCATGGTATAAAGGACCACCTGTATCAACAAGGCTTACAGAACCAATAGGAATGCAGGGGAGCTCCATTCATTAATGTCAGCGGGGTTTGCAAAGGCAGCAGTGATCAATGACATCAGCATGACTGCAGGTGGCAGCATGAATTATGTGTATCTACTAGTTAACAAAATTTGGTTAAATCTTGGAAATTTTCATTCTATACATTGGCAACAAATAGCACTTACATTAACATCATCACCTGTAGCAACGGATATCATGAAAATCAACATGGTGTCCAGTGGTTTACAAGACCATGAGCATCAACACTGCTACCATATGTAGTAGGAAAAGCATTATAGTTCCACTCACGGACATTCATATGGACATTGGAAGCAGCATGGAACAATTGAATCCACAAGATTTCAGGTGGTAGAATGTTGAATGGATAGCCACATAGTATACTATGGGAGTTGAAACTAGGGAAATTAACATTCTTTTTTGTTGAAAAGACAGAACACTTGCATCAACATGGCCTCAGGTAGGAGGACATATGGACATCAACATCAGATCCATGGGCAAGAAAGAATCCTGGCATCAACATAGCTTCCAGAAATAGTAGGAATAGCATGGTATGTCTTCTCATGGACATCCGCATGTTTAACAGATGCAAAAGGGATGAATGAATGCAACGTTTTTTGAGGTGACAATTATTCCAAATGTCAACTTAGTTTCTGTTGGTATTTTTCTTCTTGGAAATTTACATTCTTTATGTTGGCAACACAGAACATATACATCAATATGGTCATAGGTGTCCAGAGAAGTCATGGCAATCAAGATGTTATGACATGGTAACAAGGAATAAATGCATCAACATGGCTTAGCAAAACATTAGGAATTCCTATCAGGTCCTTTCATAGACATCAACAAGGTTAACAGAGGCAGCAGGAGTCAATGACATCATCATGGGTGCAGGTGGCAGCATGAATTACAAGTATCAGCTACGTCACCAAAGGTTCATTAAATCTCAGTAATTACCATTCTATATATTGCCAAAAAGGTACACTTACCTTAACATAGTCACTTGAAGCAGGAGAAATCAGGGAAGTCACCATTGTGTCCAGTGGTAAGAAGATCAGGAGCATCAATATTGCTTCCAAGAAGCATAGGTATGGATAGCATTGTAGTTCCAATCATGGACATGCACATTTATAATAGACTCAGCTAGAATTAATGAACTCAAATTGTTTGGAGGTAGCAGCATGAATTCAAGATATTAACCCAGTTTCTGTTAGTATTTCGAATCTTGAAAATTACATTATTCATATTGGCAAAACAGAACTCTTACATAAATAATGTGTTAAGGGGATGGAGAATTCATAGCAATCAAGCTGTTGTCCCTTGGTAAAAATGACCACATGCAACGACATGGCTTACAGAACTAATAGGAATGCATGGGAGCTCCATTCATTAATATCAACAGGGTTTGCAATTGCAGTAGTGATCAATGACATCAGCATGGTGGCAGGTGGCAGCATGAATAATGTGAATCAAAAGCTGGTTAAATCTTGGAAATTATCATTCTATACATTGGCAACAACAAACACTTACCTTACGGTGGTGACTTGTAGCAGGAGAGATTATAGAAATGAATATGGTACCCAGTGGAAAGAAGATAATGAGAATCAATATTGCTTCTGGAGTAGTAAGAATGGTATTGTGCCTCCAATCATGGACATCCATATAATTAACAGAAGCAATAGGGATGTATTATATCCACAGTGTTTCAGGTGGTAAAATATAGAATGAATAGCCACACAGTTTACTTTGGTAGTTGAGATGAGAGAAATTAACTTTCTTCATGATGGATATACCACCAACATGATTTCCAGTAGGAAGACAGATAGACATCAACATCAGATCCATGGGCAAGAAAGAATCCTTGAATCATTGTGGGTTTCAGAAATAGTAGAAATAACATTGTATGTCTGCTCATGGACATCCACATGTTTAAGAGATGGAGCAGGGATGAAAGAATTCAAATTGTTTGGAGGTGACAGCAAATAGTCTGGATACAAACTTAGATTCAGTTGCTATTTGAATTTTTGGAAATTTACAGTCTCTGTGTTGTCAACAAAGAACACTTCCATCCATATGAACATAAAGGGCCAGAGAGGGCATGGCAATCAAAATGTTATCTCATGGTAACAAAGACCACATTCATCAACATAGCTCACAGAAACAACAGAAATGCATTGGAAGTGCATTCATAGATATCAACAAAGTTAAAAGTTGCAACAGAGATCAGTGACATCAACATGGTTGGAGATGGAAGCATGAATTATGGATATCTGCTTAGTTACAAATGCTTCTTAAATCTTGGTAATTACCATTCTACAGATTGCCAAAAAGAAACACTTGCCTGAATATGGGCATAAGGGGCTGGGGAATTTATGGCAATCATTATGTTAACCCATGATATAAAGGAACACCTGCATCAACATGGCTTACAGAAACAATAGAAATGCAGGGGAGCGCCATTCATTAATATCAGCAGGGTTTGCAAAGGCATCAGTGATCAATGACATCAGCATGGCTGCAGGTACTAGTATGAATTATGTGTACCAACTCAGTTATCATCAAAGTTGGTTAAATTATGTAAATTACCATTCTATACATTTGCAACAATTAAAGTCTACATTAACATAATCACCTGTAGAAACAGAGATCATGGATATCAACATGATGTCCAGTGGATTAGAAGACTATGAGCATCAACACTGCTACCAGAAGTAGTAAGAATTATATTTCCAAACATGGACATCCATATGGGTAACAAAAGCAGCAGGAATCCATTAAATCCACAAGTTTTCAGGTGGCAGAATGTTGAATGGATAGCCACATAGTTTGCTATGTTATTAGAGATCAGGGAAATTAACTTTCTTCATGTTGAAAAGACAGATCTCTTGCATGAACATGGTCTCAGGAAGCAGGACAGATAGACATCAACATCAGATCCATGGGCAAGAAGAACCCTGGCATCAATGTGACTCCAAGAAATAGTAGAAATAGCATGATATATCTGCTCATGGAAATCCGCATGTTCAACAGATGTAGCAGGGATGAATGAATTCAATTTGTTTGGAGGTGACAGCAAGTATTCTGGATATCAACTAGTTTCAGTTGGTATTTTTGTTCTTGGAAATTTACATTCTTTTTGTTGCCAACACAGAACATTTACATTAATATGGTCATAAGGGGCCAGAGAGGTCATGGCAATAAAGATGTCATCTCATGGTAACAAAAACCACATGAATCATCATGGCTTACAGAACCAATAGGAATGCATGGCACTTCCTTTCATAGACATCAACAGGGTTAACAGAAGCAGCAGCAGTCAATGACATCAGCATGGGTGCAGTTGGCAGCATGACTTACAGATATAAGCTTGTTAACAAAGGTTCATTAAATCTTGGGAATTACCATTCTATATATTGCCAAAAAGGAACACTTATCTTAATATTGTCACTTGTATCAGGAGAGATCATGGAAATCAACCCGTTGTCCAGTGGTAAGATCATGAGCATCAACATTGCTTTCAGAAGGAGTAGGAATAGTATTGTAGTTCCAATCATGGACATGCACATGTTGAAAAGACTCAGCTGGATTTAAAGACCTCAACTTATTTGGAGGTAGTGGCATGTCTTTCGGTTATTATCTTAGTTTCTATTGGTATTTCAATTCTTGAAAATTACATTCTTCATATTGGCAATACAGAATACTTACATTAATAAGGTCATAGGGGATGGAGAAATCAAAGTCATCAAGGTGTTATCCCATGGTAAAAAGGACCACATGCATCAACATGGCTTCCAGAATGAATAGGAATGCATGGGAGCTCTATTCACTAATATCAACATGGTTTGCAAAGGCAGCAGTGACCAATGACGTCAGGTTGGCTGCAGGTGGCAGTATGAATTATGTGTATCAACTTAGCTACCAAAAGTTAATTAAATCTTGGAAATTACCATTCTACACACTGGCAACAACAAACACTTAAGGTGGTGACTTGTAGCAGGAGATATCATAGAAAAAAAACATGGTGCCAAGTAGTAGAAGATAATTAGCATCAACATTGCTTCCAGAAGTAATAAGAATGGCATTGTGCCTCCAATCATGGACATCCCCTTGGTTCACAGAAGCAGTAGCGATGTATTATATCTACAGGGTTTCAGTTGGCAGAATGTAGAATGAATAGCCACACAGTTTACTTTGGTATTTGAGATCAGAGAAATTAATTTTCTTCATGATGGAAAGACAGAACTCTTGTACCAACATGCTGTCAGGTAGGAGGACAGATAGACATCAAAATAAGTTCCATGTGCAAGAAAGAACGCTGTCATCAACCTGGTTTCCAGAAATAGTAGGAACTGCATTGTATGTCCGCTCATGGACATCCTCATATATAACAGATGCAGCAGGGATAAATTAATTCAATTTGTTTGGTGGTGACAGCAAATACTGCGCATATCAACTTGGTTTTGTTTGATATTTCAATTCTTAAAATTTCACATTCTTTATATTGGCAACACAGAACACTTCCATCAATATGGTCATAAGGGGCCAAGGAGGTCATGGTAATCAAAATGTTATCTCATGGTAACAAGGACCTCATGTATCAACACGACTTACAGAAACAAGAGGAATGCATTGGAGGGGCTTTCATAGACCTCAACAAGGTTAACCTTGGCAACGGCTGTCAAGGACATCAGCATGGTTGGAGGTTGCAGCATGAATTATGGATATCTGCTTAGTGACTGATGCTTGCTAAATCTTGGAAACTACCATTCTACATATTGTCAAAATGGAGGTTAACATAGCCATAAGGGGCTGGAGAATTTATGGCCAACAAGATGTCAACCCATGGTATAAATGAAGACCTGCATCAACATGGCTTACAGAAACAATAGGAATGCAGGGGAGCTCCATTCATTAATATCAGCATGGTCTGCACAGGCATCAGTGATCAATGACCTCAGTATGGCTGCAGGTAGCAGCATGAATAATGTGTATCAACTTAGTTACCAAAAGTTGGTTAAATCTTGGAAATTACCATTGTATACATTGTCAACAAGGATCACTTACATTAACATCATCACCTGTAGCAACAGATATCATGAAAATCGACATGGTGTCCAGTGGTTCACACGTCCATGAGCATCAACACTGCTACCAGAAGTAGTATGAAAACTATTATGGTTCCAATCATGGACATCCATATGGGTAACAGAACAAGCAGGGATCAATTAAATCCACAAGTTATCAGCTGGCAGCACGTAGAATGGATAGAAACATAGTTTACTACGGTAGTTGAGATCAGGAAATTAACAATCTTCATGATGGAAATATAGAACTCTTGCATCAACATGGTCTCAGGTAGCAGGACAGATAGACATCAACATTAGATCCATGAGCACGAATGAACCCTGGCATTATGTGGCTTCCAGAAATAGTAGGAATAACATGGTATGCCTTCTCATGGACATCTGCATGTTTTAGAAATTCAGCAGTGATGAATATATTCAATGTGTTTGGAGGTGACAGCAAGTATTCCAGATATGAACTTAGTTTCAGTTTATATTATTGTTCTTGTAAATTTACATTCTTTATGTTGGTGACACAGAATACTAAAATTAGTATGGTCATATGGGGCCAGAGAGGTCATGGCAATCAAGATGTTATCCCATGGTAACAAGGACCATATGAATCAACATGGCTTACAGAAACAATAGGAATTCCTGTCAGGCCCTTTCATAGAAATCAAAAAGTTTAACAGAGGCAGCAGTGGTCAATGACATCAGCATGGGTACAGGTGGCAGCATGAATTACAGATATCAACTATGTTACCAAAGGTTCATTAAATCTTGGAAATTACTTTTCTATATATAATGCCAAAAAAGAAACACTTACCTTAATATTGTCACTTGTAGTAGGAGAGATCATGGAAATCAATATGGTGTCCAGTGGTAAGAAGATCATGAGCATAACCCTTGATTCCAGAAGGAGTAGGGATAGCATTGCCCTTCCAACCATGGATATGCACATGTTTAAGAGACTCAGCTGAGATTAAAGACCTCAACTTGTTTGGAGGTGGTGAATGTATTCAGGGTATTAACCCAGTTTCTGATAGTATTTCAATTCTTGGAAATTACATTCTACAAATTGGCAACACAAAACACTTACATAATTAAGGTGAAAAGGGAATGAAGAACTCATTGTCACAAAGATGTTATCCCATGGTAACCAGGACCACAAGCATCAACATGGCTTACAGAACCAATAGGAATGCATGGAAGCTTCATTCATTAATATCAATATGGTTTGCAAAGGCAGTAGTGATCAATGACATCAGCATGGCTGCAGGTGGCAGTATGAATTCTGTGTATCAACTTAGTTTCCAAAAGTTAAGTAAATCTTGGAAATTACCATTCTATACATTGGCAACAACAAACACTAACCTTAAGGTAGTGACTGATCATTGAATTCGACATGTTGCCCAGTGGTAAGATGATAAGTAGCATCAACATTGCTTCCAGAAATAGTACTATTATCATTATGCTCCCAATCATGGACATCCATATGTATAACAGAAGCAGGGATGTATTATATCCACAGGTTTCTAGGTGGTAATTTGTCAAATAGATAGCCACATAGTTTACTATAGTATTTGAGATCAGGGAAATTAACACTCTTCAAGTTAGAAAGAAAGAACATAATCTCTGGTAGCAGGACAGATAGACATCGCCATCAGATCCATGGGCAAGAAAGAACCCCGGCATCAACATGCTTCCAGAAATAGTAGGAATAGCATGGTATGTCTGCTCATGGACATCCACGTTTAAAGATGCATCAGGGATGAATGAATTCAATTTATTTGGAGGTGACAGCAAATATTCCGGATATCAACTTAGTTTCAGTTCTTGGAAATTTACATTCTTTATGTTGGCAACACAGCACACTTCCATCAATATGGGGCCAGAGAGGTGATGGCAATCAAGATGTTATCCCATGGTAACAAGGAACACGTGTATTAACATGGCTTACAGAACCAACAGGAATTTATTGCAGGTGCATTCATAGACATCAACAGGGTTAAGAGTGGCAATAGGGATCTATGACATCAACATGGTTGGAGATGGCAGCATGAATTACAGATATCTGTGTAGTTACCAATGCTTGTTAAATATTCGAAATTACCATTCTACACATTGCCAATAGGAACACTTACATTAACATCATCACTTGTAACAGGAGATGTCACAGAAATCTACATGATATCTTGTGGTTAAAAAAAAATCATGAGCATCAACAATGTTAACAAAAATGTTATGAATAGCATTGTAGTTCCAGTCATGGACATCCATATGGGTAATTGAAGCAGCAGAGATCAATTAAATCCTCAAGGATTCAGGTGGCAGCATGTAGAAAGGATAGCCACATAGTTTACTTTGGTATTGAGATCAGGGAAATTAACATTCTTCAAGTTGGAAAGACAGAACTCTTGGATCAACATGGTCTCAGGTAGTATGACAGATAGAACTCCACATCAGATCCATGGGCAAGGAAGAACCCTGGTATCAACCTGGCTTCCAGAAATAGTAGGAATTGCATTGTATGTCCGCTCATGGATATCCACATGTTTCACAGACACAGCAGGGTAGTGGCATCAACTCTCTTGTTGGTAGCATGCATTCTATATTTCAACTTAGTTTAGTTAGTATTTCAGTTTTTGGAAATTTATATTCTTCATGCTGGAAACATACAATGCTTACCTTCACATGGTCCTCAGGGCATGGAGAGGTCATGGCCATCAAGATACTATCCCATGGAACCAAAACTACATGCATTGTCATGGCTTACAGAGTCAAAAGTGTTCCATTTGTGTCCATTCATAGACATCAATTGGGTTAAGAGAGGCAGCAGTGATCAATTACATCAGCATGGCTGCACATGTCAGCATGAATAATGCATATCAATTTAGTTTACAAAAGTTGGTTAAATTGCCATTCTATTCATTGGCAAAAAGGAACACTTACATTAACATGATCACTCGTAGCAGGAGAGATCATGACAATCAACATGTATTCCGGTGGTTTAAAAGATCATGAGCATAAACATTGCTTTCAAAAGTAGTATGAATAGAATTATAGTACCAATCATGAACATCCATATGGTTAACAGTTAGCAGAGATCAATTAAATCCACATGGTTTCAGGTACCATCATGTAAAATGGATAGCAACATGGTCTTGCTGGTAGTTGTTATCAAAAAATTAACATCCTTCATGTTGGCAACACAGAACTCTTGTAGCAGCTACATGGTCTCAGGTGACAGGGCAGTGATATACATGAACATCAGATCCATGGGCAAGAAAGAATCCTCCTCAACATGACTTCCAAAATAGTAGGAATAGCATGGTATGTCTGCTCATGGAAATCCACATGTTTAAAAGATGCAGCGGGGGTAGATGAATTCAATTTGTTTGGAGGGGACAGCAAGTATTCCGGATATTAACTTAGTTTCAGTTGGTATTTCAGTTCTTTGAAATTTACATTCTTTTTACATTCTTTATGTTGGCAACACAGAACACTTACATTATTATGGTCATAAGTGGCCAGAGAAGTCTTGGCAATTAAGATGTTATCCCTTGGTAATAAGGACCACATGCAACAACATGGTTTACAGAACCAATAGGAATGCATGGGAGGTGCTTTCATAGACATCAAGGGGATTAACAGAGGCAGCAGAAATCAATGACATCAGCCTGGGGACCATTGGCAGCATGAATTATGCATATCAACTTAAGTTACCAATGGTTGGTTATATCTTGTAAAATAACATTCTACACATTAGCAAACAAGGAACACTTACCTTACCATTGTCACTAGTTGTAGGAGAAAACATGGAAGTCACCATGGTTTCCAGTAGTAAGAAGATCATGACCATCAACATTGCTTCCAGAAGGAGTAGGAATAGCATTGTAGTGCCAATCATGGATATCCATATGGTTAACAGAGGCAGCAGGAGTCAATTAAATCCGGAATAGTTTCTCTAAATTATTATGTATCACCCTGAGAATGACAAGACATTTATCTTTATGGATAAATTTCAGAACTAATATACAGAATATTCATATAACTCTGCCAAGCACAACAAGAGTCTTAAGAAATGTTTTCAAAATTCGTCTCATTCAAAAATTATAATGCAATGAGAAAAATAAATGAAGCATTTATGTGTAATACTAAAATATTTCAGAAGCAAAATAACCTTGTTTTCTTGCCTTGTCAAGATGTGCAAGAAATTTCTTGTATCAAAGTACTTTCATTATAGTTCACATGTTTTAACATTGTTATTACATTTTGGGTACTGTGATAAATACTTAATGACATTAAATTTAAATTCTCAAATAACTAACTTGAACAAGGTAATTATTGGAAAGAGTAAAATCTTGAGTTATTTTAAGTTAGGGAAATTTTCTCAAATATTTATTGTGATGAGATTCATTTACATGACTATTTCTGTGTCTTTGGGCAATCACAGATACTGGATATCCATATATTTTTTATACAATAGAAATACTGTCCATACTCCATAGAATTGTTCTGAAAATTAACTAAAATGTACACATAAGGCATACTTTATAATACCTAGTATGATGGCCAGTATCAATTAATCAACACTTAGGAGGCAAGGTACTCGGCACACCTATGAGATATTGTCTAAATCAAAATTAATCTGAGACTGTCTTTGATGGAATAACTTGATTATGTTACTTGAAACAGGACAAGCCAACTTAATTTTTTTGAAAAGAAGAAACCAGTAAGATAAAAGGACCATTGAAGGGTAGTGGTGAGAGAGCAATAGAAAGGTTAATATCAGGTTACCTGTGATGGGAAGGAGGACACGGAATAGATGGAGGCAGGGAGGGACGTAAATACAAAAGGAGGGTAAAGTAACAGTAAGGATGTCTGAAAAAGTCGTAAGAAGTCACACTATTAAGTGGCAACATAAATACCTCCAAAATATTTACATATTAAAGCCAATGTGTAAAATTAAGTCTTTTTATTTTACCTTACATAACAATTATGTCTATTTTGCTTCAAATAATAGGAATACAATGCTATCTGCTGCCAAAGTAATCTTGTGATGAAACTTGACAGATGCTTTCATATATAATATAATGATCAATCTTTAGGGGTTATCTTAATACTAGATCCCCTCAGCTGAATAATAATAGTAGGTTCTCATCCAGGGCCTTTGATCTATATTTTATGTTCAACAATAAACTAATAATTATCAAACCATCAAGAAAGTAACTGAGAATAGTAAAATCGCTAACAATAGGGGAAGGAAATGTCCAGTGTGGTGAAGGAAAGGTAAGACATTATAACTCTTGGACAAAGGCCTCTGTAGCCTCATTTTGAAAAAATCTTATTTGCTATGACAAACTAACATCCTAAAGATGTACCTAAATGGAATGAAACTATTTTGGGAAAGGAATATTCTAGCAAGGTACCCTTTATCAGGTGGTGCACTCCTCCTTCATCTACCGGTTAATAATAAATTGTCATGCCGCCCCCTCCCCGTTTTCTTGCTGATCCAAGGAAAAGTTTCTTCACCTGTTGAAACTGTATTACATACACATAAGTGGCTGCCTTTTCTCAATGACAAAAAGATGTGGAAACCAAATATCAGAACACTTACTCTAAGGTGAAATCAAATATTTGGTTCAATACTTGCTTTACAGCTACCTTGTGCAATCATGCTGAATTTGCTGTCTACTTGAAATCTCAATGCACCTTTTATCTCTTGGCTCTCCTGTTCCCCAGATACCCCTTCTCCTAAGACAAATTTTCAGTACAGAAAACCTACATGTTCAGGGCTCTGCTTTTCAGAAACTCCGCTCAAAGCACCTTTGATATACTACGAGTAAAGTCCACCAGACTCCATCAACCTATTATAATCACTCTCTAGAAAAAAAAGTGCCAAATTTTCCTGATTTTCCAATTTCATCCATGCATATGACACTAAACAACACTCTACTAAAGAAATTTATCTGCTTTAAAATGTATATAAGTGGAAGTAATGTATTAATATCCTCTGTGGGTAGATATTCCTGCTCAAGATTTTATGTTACAGACATAATCATACTAACTATATAGTTTTGTTTGCTTTCTCAATATAATGTTTTCCATAAATACATTAAAATGCGTTATTCATTTGCTGGAAAACAAAATTTTGTTGGAAAAGCATTGATTAATTCCATGTTTCTCTTGCAGTGGGATGGATAGTCGTACACTCATCTCAGTATACAAACATGAAATTTTCCTCTAGTGAAAGCACCTAGATCATGTCATCATAGGAAAGTAAACATTTTAGTTAGATGATGTAATTCCAAATTATTCAAAAATAATTGGACTAACTAAACTCATAAAAATAATCAAATAATATTTTCCACATAATTGGCAGTACTTAGTGTTAGAATAACTTCTATATGACAAATTTGTCAAAGTAGCTTATTGGAAATTGTATTTCATAGCATTAATTACAACTTCTTTGGTTATTAATGAGCATTATGGAATTGTACATTTATTGGTATCATTTACACTTGTCAGTTTTTTGATATCTTTGAAATACTTATTTTTATTGCATTTCCTGTTCAATTATTCATTTTTTTGATGATGCCCAGTCAAGGTTCCACTCTGTGGAAGCCAAAAGGGGGCCTTTAGGAGGGAACATTAAGTCAGGGGGGATAAAAGATTCTAGGAAAAATTAGAGTGTCAGACTTTGGTGATTGAAAAGGCTTAGATAGGTAGGAACAGAGAAATGTGAACTAAATTGGGGGTTAGGGAGAGAACCCAAAGAAAGGGTGGATGAAACCTGTATCCAAGCCTATGATCCCTTAAACCAATTAAAATATTGTTGGAGGAAGAGTAAAATTCATGGGATCAGAAACTGAAAGGATGTATAAGGGAGTTAAAAGATTAATGGGGTGTCAAGGGAATGAGGGAGAAGAGGGAATATTGTTAATAAAATAAAATAAACCCCTAATGATAAAGGTGCCACACACTTTAGCTAAAGACACAGAGAAATCCATTTCAAAATCACTGGAAAATTAGCTTCCTGATGGCTAGCTTCCATAGTGCCAGAATGAGATTGGGGATAAAAGGCACCCATGTACTCACCCAGTGCTGGAAACTGTGTGCTCTAACACTGGCTTGCCAGACAAGATTTGCCCACTGTTGCTACGGCTGCTTCACTATTATGAGGTAACCAGCTGCTTTCTTAGTGCATTTGAGACCTGCCCAACATAAGGGGATTTCATGCTTGGTACTGCAACCATAGTCAAAGGCTCATGGTTTAAAAACTATGGATACCTTAAAAATACTTTACGGGAACTCACATCTTAGGTGGTTCCCAAATACAACTTAAAACAAAGAATTCAAACAGAATTACCCAGCATACATCGACAATTTCACTCCTGCAAAACATAGGTTATTAAATGAAAATTAAAGTGGAAGAAATAAGATACCTCACCTTGAAGTACTGGCCAAGAAGGCCTCAAGAGCAGGCCTTTAATCTCTACACACAGGTGTCAGAGTCAGGTGGATTTCTGTGAGTTCGAGGCCAGCCTAGTCTACAGAGCGAATTTCAGGGTAGGCTCCAAAGCTACACAGAAAAACCCTATCTAAACCCCACCCCACCCCACAACAGCCCCCCCAAAAAAGGAAAATAAAACAAGATAACAAATACCTTTACCACTGTCCTTGGTTACCCACGAAAATTTCATGATAAAACCCTAATGATAAAGATGCCACACACTTTAGCTAAAGACACCGACAAATCCATTTCAAAATCACTGGAAAATTAGCTTCCGGATGGCTAGCTTCCATAGTGCCAAATGGGATTGGGGATAAAAGGCACCCATGTACTCACCCAGTGCTGGAAACTGTGTGCTCTACCACTGGCTTGCCAGACAAGATTTGCCCACTGTTGCTATGGCTGCATCACTATTATGAGGTAACCAGTTGCTTTCTTAGTGCATTTGAGACCTGCCCAACATAAGGGGACTTCATATTTGGTACTGCAAACATAGTCAAAGGCTCACAGCTGGGAAGTTCAAGGTCGTAGTTTAGAACCTGCTATTGGAATTTTGCTCAAAAGTGATGTTTTAAATTTGCCTTCTAAATATTTCTGTTTATACCCATAGATTGCTCTCCAGCATGGTCACATAAACCCTTTCTGAAGTGGGCAACAATCACTACAAAGAGCAACAATTTCCAATGAGCAGAGAATAAGTGTCAGTAAAAGCAAAATCCAAAATGGACAACAATGCCACTTCCCACACCTTCCAAATCTCATGGAACATCACAGAAAGAGGAAGCAACAAGAACGAAAGAGACAGACAATGTGGAGGAGTGCTCTAATGTGCTCTCTACTGGACAGTATATGGGTATTGCACCCATGAACTCACAGCACCTGTGATTACCTAGATATCCGAATAAGAACAAACCATCCAGAACTTTGGCATAGATAAGGGAGAGTGTTCTCCCTGTTTTGCCTCTTAGGAGGAACAATTGGCACTTGGTAACTGTTGGAGCAGGATGTTCTGTTAAGATTCTCAAGACTCTAGTGGATAGCCACACATCCAAGCTCATATGAACAGCACTCATCCAAGCTCATAGTAGCAGTGCTAACTGAACTTAGTGAATTACCACATAACAAAGACATACAATGGGGAAGGGGAAATACTGGAGAGGAAATCGGTGCTGGTTGAGGACTAAAATAACAGAAAGATGTAGTCATATTTCACTGTACATACACACAAAATTCTCAAGAATAAAGAAAATATATTTAAAAATACAATACCATGACATTATGAGCTTCTAATACAATCATTATCTTGATTAAATGACTAGCAGACAATATTGTTGCTATATGTTTTGGATTATGATCTCCTAAAGATATGTGCAGTAAAGGCTTATTTCCCCATGGTGGTGCTATTGGATGGACTTGTACCTCATGATAGTCCTTATGTCAATTGGGTTATGGCCTTGAAAAGTGTCTTACTTACATTTTTATTGTTGTGATCAAACATTATGCAAAATCCTTTGATTTCTGAAGACATACATTAAATAAATGATTCTTTATTTTTAATAAAGCTTATTATATGCTGAAAATATGAATTTTGTACCACTATCCAAGTTTGAAGTTTGGGCTTTTAATAAAAAAGAATAACATATATATATATATATATATATATATACATATATATATGTGTGTGTGTGTGTGTGTGTGTGTGTGTGTGTGTGTACAGATTATATTTATACAGTGTTGTACTAATTTATACATACAAAATGTGCTTTTTTGTGGACAAACACTCTAACCCTGTAGAAAAACAATTTGGGCCAAGAAACAGACTACCTAAAACTGCAGCACAAACGTATAATAGAATGCTTTCAAGCTCTGGGACCCACTTAAAACTGGCTTCCATTTGTGGAAAAGAAAAATAGTATTGGAGCAGTATCGAGTGTAGAAAATACTGATTTCAAATCCTTAGCAGATCT